AACTAAAAGTTTAAGCTGATAGTTGGATTGCACATTAATGGTTATATACTCAACAACTTCCATAATATTAATATATACACTTCTTAATTCCAAATTCAATAAATTCATTAGAGCTCGCGAATCTTTATTATTATTCTTGCATTGCTTCTTATGATTTTATGTGCAGGCCGGTGAGGTGATGATTGGTTGAAGAATGAATAGTCAATTCGTAGTTAGCTAAAAGGAAAGGGATTTAAGAATGGTTACGTTGATGTCACCTGTGAGAAACAACTTCCATGAGAGAGGAAATGGATGTGTTTATGTAACGTGATTATCGAGCCCAACTTGGAGTGCCAATTAAGTGATCAAACCGGCCGACACATACGACCTAATGCCCCTTGCCAAGTCACTTTCATGTGTGTGTGTATATATATATATATATACACACACACTAAACATTAAAAAACTAAAAATTTAAAATTTTCTAATTATTAAACATGAAAAAATCTAATATTATTTAAGTTAAATTATTATAATATAAAATAATATAATAATAATTTTTTTTTTTTTTAATTCTTGAAGTTGGCATGTAAGCCAGCATGAGGCGGACTAGAGTTGAAGAATGCAGGTTTCACGGGTCAGCCGGCAAAGGCTCGCAAAAATTACAATCCGCAGTGGGTTTAGCTATTTGTGGATCTTCTCAAGAATCAGAGTTGGTGGATTTAGCTAATTCTTGAAAAGATCCACGGTTGGTAAAACTTTGTTGCTTCAAAATAGAGCCGCTAAAATGAGTTTTGCTAATATTAATCAAGCTAGTTAGTCCTGCCATGCAAAAAGGGTGGGATGAGTTTTGAGTTTTATGACCCGTTAAATTGGTTGGCTTTGGTAGGGGCCATCCAAATAAGACCGCCTAGTATATGTATATTACTAATATAAATACATACGGAGTATTTCTTTATTTATTAATATTTAAACTTGTATTTGTGATTAGTACATTGTATAAATGATTTAATTTGTTATTGACTTAGGGAGTAATGCATTATGTATTTGACTGTTTATTAGGACTTATTGCATTATTAGCATATTGTTTTGTTTAACAAATTACAAAAGCATTTATGTATGGTATATTTAAACTATCCAAATTATTTTAGTATACACTTATAAACTTTTTATATTAATTTTTATTTAATAAATATTGAAACTTTCAAGTTTGAACTTAACTATTTATAAATTAAAACTAACAACGCCATTTTTTCTTTATATTTTTTAACAACTCTCAACCATTGATCTACGCAAATTGATGGATTAGATTAATCATAACTTTTTACCTGAGAGCATGTTCATACTTGAACCGTTAATCTATATCTATATAAATAATATAAGGTGATGTTTCGATAAGAACTCGTCCTCCTGTAAGAACTTATGACTTGTACATAAAAAAAACTTAGGATCCTATCATTACTAAAATTTAATTTAATCTTGTAATTACTTATTTAGAATGTTAAGAGCGGTATTAAATTTGAAGATGAAGTAGTAAAATTTATACACTAATACGTAGCTAGGATTAATTGCAAGGAGTACGTGTAGGCAATTAAAGGTAAAGGTGGAGTGAAGAATAAAAAATAATAATGATATGGTACATGCATATGCATGAGCATTGGTTGATGAGAAAGGACAACAGCCTTACGGGCGTCAACCGATCGGATCCTCCCTCGGGATTGGATCCCACTTTGCACCCACCTCAGGTGTCAAATAGCATCTTTCCTTTTTGTTTACCTATTCTTTCTTTCTTTTCTTCACTTTATCATTCAAATTCAAGCTACGTTGGACTCCATATATATGTATATGTGTGTGTGTGTGTATATATATATATATATATATATATATGCACCCAACATCATATACATGATAATATGATATACAAGGAGTGATATTTGTAGGGTGAAAAAGATTATCTTTTTACGTAACATTTAATTAGTTCACGAAATAAAATTTGAAGGAACATATAGGAATATAATAGAATTCTAGAATAAATGTAATATAAAATGAATATAGCACAAACAATATTCTATATATTTTTTTGGTTTACAAAGCCAATACTGAATAAACATAAAATTATATCTGTCTGGTCGGAGTGTGGGGACCCTTAAGGTTGGGGATTCAACCTTTTGGGGGAAGAAAATTATAGAAGAAATCTTATTTTAGTATTTGGTTGAATTAAAAATAAAAAATTTCACCTTACTTTTTACCTTTTCAAAAATTTTAATAATAATAACTCATGCATCACATGACAAATGTAATAACTAAGAATATGCATGCCATTGAACAACTCGAAGAGTTTAATTAATTTTTGTAAACACTCTTTCAAAAGTGAACTTATCGCACATGGTCTGAAATTTCAAACACAATTTATCTCTCTCGTGTAATTTGTTGACTTTTACCCTTAAATATAGTATATGCAAATTTTTCTCTTTACCCAAAAAGAATATATATACATACATGGTTGGAAGAGACAAATAGTATGAAAAGTAATCATGTTCGAAAATGCCAAAAAGGCCAAATTCTCATATATTTAAAATCGATACATATATTATACTATATACAGAGTATTATATAGACAAACACATGTATACCTTAAAAAAAAAAATAGATAATAAATAAAAAGAATCCAATGTGTTTTGTACCTATGACCCATCAATAATACATCCTCTCTTTCATATCCTAACATTTTGTTCAGCACTTTCAAGAACTCCAAAGAATTTTGTTTGAAATAATTCTTCATTGATTGATAGGACCAGAATATACAACCTTGATGAAGTATAATAATAATGGACAGTACACGTTGTCGCCTACACCCACCTGTTCAAATCAAGGAATTATTTGACCATTTAAAGCATTATTATGAGTGGTCGAGAATTATGTTTGGTAGTTTTTATTGTCTAAGGAACATGCAATACATGTTGCAGTTTATTCAGATTTGTAAGGTCATATATATAGTCAATGTTTTTAGCACTTAATTCAAAGTGAAGAGATCCATTATTATAAGCTTTGTGTACAACTTGTGGTCTTTACATGTGTGTCTTACAAAAATACAAAATACTAACTAAACAACCATTATACTTTATAGTTTGTCTTTATCTATATGTATTTATGCACATCCCACTTCTTTGATGTGTAACCCAATATATGGCATATCAATTAAGCAGTCTTTAGTGCCCGATAGGCAGCTTATTTAATCATAGGGGTGAAGTTTGAAAATAATGAACAGGAATCGAAGCGATCAGTATTTAGCCCCAAAAGCACCATATATATTCTAAGAGCCCACTATAGATATGCTTTAGTTGTCTCAGCAAAATTGGCAAATGCCAAATACTAAATTTGATGATAGCATCATTGATGAGATAGTAATTTACATTGGTAATGAATAACGAAATTAGACACAATTATTAAGTGAATGCCAAAATTAAGTTAAAATATTAGTGAATGATTAAGTTAGAAAATTAGGGAGTAATTCTTTGGGAGCACTATATTTAGATTTTGTCATTTAATTTTGGTAACGCATGCATGAACTATATAGATATCACAATCAATTTCTCCGCATAATAAATGATTATTTGGATGAAATAATTAATACAAGCTAGCTACTGTGTCACTGTCGTAGAATTAAATAGATTTACTTTGCACCCTTTCGATCTCAACATATATTAAAGAATCAATATAGGATGGAGTGCAATGAAGACATTATTGGCTTTAAGGATGTAGTCCAAGGTATGAAACAAGCTTTAATTAAATATGCACTGGATGGATGGAGTCATCTTGTACTTATTACATGCATTTTGTCAATACATCTAAAGGGCCGTCAGAGCATCTGGATAATGTAAATCATGGTAACTCAGCTGATTTGCACTTGTTGCGCATAAGGAGCCCTCCTCAGCTCACTAGTTTCTCCCACTGCTGGAAACTATGGAATTTCCGACCACCTGAAAGTGATCTTATCCGACCACGCCCTCCTCAGCTCACTAGTTTCTCCCACTGCTGGAAATTATGGAATTTCCGACCACCTGGAAGTGATCTTATATCAAGTTGAAAGCAAAAAGTGGTCGGAAATAGCAACAAAGGTTTTTTCGAATACCAAAAGTGGTCGGAACAAGGCTTTCGACTTGATTTAAGATCATTTTCAGGTGGTCGAGTTGAAAGCAAAAAGTGGTGAAAGCAAAAAGTGGTCGGAAATAGCAACAAAGGTTTTTCGGATACCAAAAGTGGTCGGAACAAGGCTTTCGACTTGATTTAAGATCATTTTCAGGTGGTCGAAAATTCCATAAGTTCCAGCAGTGTCCCACAATAACACTGGTGAGATTTGATCCCTGATCATTCTTCCTAAACTTCACTCTTGTGACCAATTGAGCTGCCCATGCAGACACATTTTACCATTGACCTTTGATCAAGATATAAGAAGTTGATTATTGTCATTTTCGGTTTAAGCCAATGAGATATGAGTAACTTATGTTGTTTTTTTTTTTTTGTTTTTTTAGTGATTTTTTGTCAGTTTAGATTATAAGGCAAACTTTATTTAGAGCATATATTTGGGTAGCTCTGGCATAATTTTTCGTAAATCAAAGATATAGACGTTTGATTATTATCCATATTTATGCTTGTAGTAAATAGATGTAAATATTAGAAAAAACTCTCTTTTAGGTAAGATTTGGTAGTATATCAACTAAACTTGATATAATTATTGTTACCTATATATGCCTTATGTACCATGCACATATATATTATTAGGGTGGTACCTAGTACAAAAAATAAAGTTGCAGATTTTTCTCACCCCAAAAAAATAAATGAATTTATTTTGAATGTCCAATTTCCAAAAACGAAACTATGTGCCTGTAAACTAGTCTCAATAATACTCAGTATATGCTATTATTGCTATATAGACATCATCACGTACTGTCTAAAACAGCTGGTAAATTTTTTATTTAAAAAAAAAAAAAAAAAAAAAAAAACTAGGGTTTCTATGCATAATGCATCAGTATCCCTTTATTATGAAAGGAAAAAAAAATACAGATTATTTAAGAATAAACATAAAAAAGCGGATTAAATATTGAAGTACTCCATTGACTGACAGCATATATATGCAATCAAATTGATCGAGTTGCTGACATATAATGTACCAGGTTTAATTTTTTCGATCATAAACAAAAAAAAAAAGACAGAATCTAAGACTGATTATTATGATATGCAGGTAGGTTGTTTAAGAAGATTGCTGCCATGTCTTTTGACTTTGATCGGCGGGAGAATTAACAAGGCCGCCGGTTATATTGAAAATGTCGGTGCGGGAGAGTGGTCGTAAGCCCAGGAAATCCTTGGTTATGTCGTCGTTAACGACGCCGGCGCCGGCGCCGGCGTCTTTCTTGTTGTTGAAGAAGGAGCCGAAGAGGGGGTCTTCAAAGGGGGGATTATTGGAGGAGAAAGAGTTCATCATATCGTGAAGAAAGGAGGCTGAAGGTGCAGCGGAGGCGGAGGGTGCAGCCGCGGACACCGTAGCTTTCCCCCCGAAAGAAGCCAAGCCATCGAGTAAGCCGCCGGCGCCGCGTGACGACAAATTCAGACCAAAATCAGGCTGGTCAGACGACACGTGAGCGAGGTGGGGCCCGGACATCACCAACGTTGTTGGTCCCCCCGAGCCGGTCATGGTCGCGCCCATCTGGGCGGCCTTCTGGAGGAGCGCCGTCGCAGAGATGTGCGGAGATCCCACCGCCGAATGGAACCCCGGGAGCCCGCCCCCACCGAATTCTTGGAAGATTGAATGGGTCATGTCAATCGGCGGCGGCGGCGGAGGCGGTTGCGGTTGCGGGTGCGGAGAGCCGCCACCCGGCAGCAGCCACGGCGGGATTTCCGGGCGGAGGTTGAAACCACCGGCGGCGGCGGTGTTTGTCTGCTCTTTCTTGACGGCAGAGAAGTCTGCAGTGAACTGCGGCGGCTGAAAATGGAGGCTTATATTATTACTGAGCGGCGCCGATGAGGAACGGGGTTGAGAGTTGAGATGATGATGATGAAATGCGTTATTATTATTATTATTATTCCCAGTAATGGCTCTGGCACTCTCTTCTGCTAATGCATCACAGAAAGCTCTGTGTGTGATAAAACTATCCCTCCTGCAAAATCAAAACTAATATAATTGAACCCATTTTTGGTCAAGAAAATGGCTAAGGATTAAGATTAGAATACCTAGAAAAAAGGGTTCCACAGTCGCATCTATATTCTCTTGTTCCACATGTTTTAGAGTGAGCCTTCCAATCAGACTGAACCGCATAGCGTTTAGAACATTTGTCACATTTCCACTTCTTCTCCCCATGTTTTCTGCAGAAATGCTTCTTAATCCCAGTGAGGTCTCCCAGGGCTCTAGATGGGTCATGGTGGACGCAGTTAGTTTCTGGGCAAACATACACCTTCTTCCTCACAACATCTTTGCTGCTTCTCTGCTTCAACTTCCATGGCAGATTGTGGCCTCTCCTGTGAAGCTGCAGATTCTGGTCCCTCTGGAATCCTTTGTTGCAGATTTCACACACAAATCTGTTGGTTGCCATCAGAGTCTTGGGTGACAAAGCTATCACTTCTGAATCTGGGTCTTTTTTTTTTTTTTTTTCCCCCACAAAACTCATCAGAAAACCATTTTCCAGAAACTAACCACAGCAAAATATATGTATAATTCAAGAAAATGAAATGAAACTAACTCAGACCTACCTGGGTTCCCTGGTTGGTTCCTTTTCTTCTTGATTTGCTGGGGTTGGGGTTGGGGTTGAGGTTGATTTATGGTGTTTCCACCAAAGTAGTGTTGTTGATGAGGGTAAACTCCACCATTGCTAGAAGACACACTAGCTTCCCCAGATGCAGCAGAAGTTACATTAGACATGTTTTCTTGATTATCCAGGTTTGGTTGATGAATCATCACACCTTTCATCATCATATCACCACAAAGCTACATAGATTTGAGCAGGCAAAGAAAAAAGTTAGGAGCTTTGTTGAAAACCCAGGACTGAAAGAAAGAAAGAAAGAAAGAAAGAAAGAGTGAGTGAGATATAGTAGTGAGGGAGAGATCCAAAGACAAATAATCCGATCTATCCAACCCAGGCAAGCAAGAAAAAGCTAGATAAAGTAGGTGGTGATAAATATGGACAAAGAAGATGGAAATAGTGGTAAGTAGAGAGTGGCAGAAATTTCTTGTTTTTAACCTCCCCAAAATCCTCACCTCCTCCTTCTCTCCTTTGGCCTCAACCTAACAGACAATTCTTGTTTTTTTCAAAATTTGAAAAACCAAAAAAAAATGGAAGAAACAGATGGGGGGTTTCTTGCTAAAATCAAGATTTGAAGAACCCTGTGTTCCCCTTCTTCATCAATGGCTTTTCGTGCTAAAAATCAAGAAAATCCAATTCTTTAAACCATGCATGTAAGAACAAATAAGTGTAGAGAGAGAAAGAAAGATGAGAGAGAGAGAGAGAGATTGTAGACATGTGGATGAGAAAGGGATACCCTCTCAGACTCAGTGATGAGTAATCCTTTCTCCCTTCCTCTCCCTCCCTACGGCTATCTCTCTGACGTGCTCTTTCTGTCTTCTCTTTTCTTCTCTCCCAACCCAGAAAAATCCACATTTACAAATTAAAAATAAAAAATAAAAATCTCACCTTTTTCTCTCCTTTATTTTTAGTATTATTTGCTTTTATCACAAAGTTCAATTTTTTGGGCTTAATGCCACCACCTTTTCCCCCCATCTCTTTTAAAGTAACTCCCACCCGAATCCACTAATTTTTTTCTCAAACATCCTTCAATCCAAAAATAAATTATGTACCAAAATGTTTAAACTAAATATTGTATTATAGTAGATTCGTTTAACAAGGACATATCTGATCCGTCAAGAAGGTAGGCTAAACACGTAAGTCAGCTAACTCATGAGTCACGAGAGAAACGGTTCGAGATCAAGATGACGTGCTAGGGCCATGGGCCCACATCCCGGAAAGGCCGGCATGTGGTGATGTGCCTAATTGAGTTGTCCAAATCTTATGCTGCTAAAGAAAACTTGAATAGTTTTATACTTATATATAGCTACACCGCCTTGTACTCCTATTCGTAATCCAATACTCCAATGTATCCCGTGTAAAAAAATAAAATGTTTAATCAGTAATCTTAAATTATCCCGCATTTATAAACAATGATCATTTCTTTATAATTTTAATTAATCTCAAGTTTATCCCCGAGTTCATATCATATCAAAAACCTAAAAATTCCATCATTGTGATATATAAAATAACATTAAATGATACATGATTTGAAGCATGCAAATGAGCACATTACCTATTAGTTTAGATCTCAATTTACGTAGGAGTAACACATGGTTTAGTGCATAAGGGTATGAAAAGTGGGACATAGATAATTGCAGAGTATAGTATCCATAATGGACTCACCATGTATTAATTAAAAAATAAAGTTTTTTCCATAAAAGCAGCCATCCAAAAAGAGGATCTGATTTGTATATGGTTGAATTGATTAATCATATATTTTACATCATTGTGTAGGAGACCCTCTTTCAAACTTTTTTTCCACTCTATTTACAGTGCCATGATTGAGTCATTGATTAACTCTCTAGCTAACACATATGCCCATGACCTAAAACTTAACTTTAGGGTAATTAATATTTAATTTTCTCCCCTCATTTTGCAATTGTATAATAATAATAATAATAATTATTATTATTATTTTTGCCCTTTTTCTTTCTTTATTTCATTGCCACTACACCCCCATTTTCCTAAATGTAGCCATCGCAGAAATTTCTGACATTTCCAGCACTCAAAAAGATGCCTAACTTACCAGGAAATTGCATTGGTTTTGATATTTAAAGATATTTACCTTTTTTTCTTAAATTGACTATCATGAACTTTTTGAGTAACCAAAAGTTTAAGTGATTGGGGGACTATTTCGATTTACATTTAGGGTATACTATTGATTTTTAAAAGGGGTTTATGTGAAATTTATCGATTACCCAATAGAAGAAATTAAAGGCTGGCCCACATGGACAGCTCAGTTGATCACATGAGTGAAGTTTGAAAACAATAACTCGGGATCGAGTCTCACCAGTGACAGTGAAGGGGACTCCTTGTGCCTAGTAAACAAAGGTTTATGCTCTGTATGGGGACTATTTCATATCAATTTAGATTTATCACCTAAATTGAAAAACTACTGATAGTGAAAAGTAAAAATCAAACTTAGGCCGTGATTACAGATGACACTGACTAACTCTCGATACCATTAGTACTCATGAACTTAAACTTAATTTAATTGTGTTAGTTTTGAGATATTTTTTTTGTAATGGATGGTGACCAATGAGAAAGTTTGCATTGACTTGGTGAAGGGTTATTGAATTGGCATGGTGTGGTGTTGCAAATTAATTGGAAAAGCATAGTTGTTAGAGCATAGGCGCACTAAATAGTTTATAATCGTGCATCCATAACATAAATTAAGTGAAATATTTAGTGTTAAGATCACAGACCAAATATATATTAATATAATTAAAACCTTATTAAATGGAGCCATCCAAATAAATTAATTATTATTATTATTAATTAATTAATTAACAGCAATACTTGTTGAACTATGTCCTGTAACAGGCAAATGATCATGTGTGTTGTGTTTTTTATTATTCTTTTTGGTTTCACGAGATAAAATATTTTTTTTACACTAAATAAAAAAAAGTCGATAAAAATAATGGTTTTGTTTTGTCATTATCGTGTTTATTCCTCAATAATTTAGGTTCTTGAAATGGGATCTTGCTCAACCCAAGTACTCTCAGACATGCTATCCCAGCTCATCTCACTCTCTCTCTCTCTCTCTAAAATAATTCAACCTTAATCTTAATTAAATCAACTGATTAATCTTGAAGGGTCACTTTGGGTATAAAATAATATGATTAATGGTTTGTGTGGGTGTGCGTGCAAGAATTTATATTCTAATAATTCTTCCTTTTTGTAATTTCATGATGCAATAAATCATAAATATAACATTACAATAATTTCAATTTTGACAAATAATACACCATATTTTTTATAGGTCCTGAATTCTCGACCTCTAAGTCAAAAAGCTTCTCTCTTGATTAGCCATTAAGCGAAAATGTCATCAATGCATATCAAGGAGTCATGAAGCTATGGAACATTTAACTTCTTAGCTTTAGAGTTGTAGGTTTTTTTTTTTTTTTTTTTTTAAGGTACCTGTATGTATTTAGCATATAAACTGATTGTAATTCATTTTCAAATTAAATTAATGAGAATCCAATCATTGATCAAACACCTAAGATGATATTGGCCCTGTTTGGTAAATAGTTAGTCTATCAATCAATTTTGGCTTATTTGATCACTATTAATTGTTTGATTTAGTTAAAAAATTAGTATAAGTGTTTGGTTCATTAGCTTTTTGTAACTTCAAAACGTTAAAATTCAAAAAACTATTCCAAACAACTTTTTCAATTAGTTTTTTTAGAAAGAAATTATACCAAACATCTATCAGCTAACAACCAATTAATTAAACATTTTTCTATAATCTATTATCAACTAGTTATACCCTCTAATTAATCCAATCAGCTAACATCTAACAATTATCAATTAACAACCATTTACCAAAGACGCCATTACCAAATGAAGGTGGTACAAGTGTGAAACTCATGAATTTTGAAAGAATAATGTAAGATGAAACCTAGTAAAGTGTATGACGGTCGGAATAGGTTGGTTGGATTGAAATTTAAAAGCATGATTGAATGAGAGAGAGAGAGAGAGAGAGAGAGTACAGTGGGTTGGGTTGTTCACGAGGGGGCAAACGAAAAAGCAATGGGCCCTACACTAAATGATTGTGAAACCACAGGACCTACCAGTTACCCACACAGCCCAGATTCACTCTTTTGTCTCCATAATTTTTTTTTTTTTTTACTTCATCACAATTTCTTTTCTTTTTTCTTTTTTCTTTTATAAAATCTAAATTACTCTCTGTTAATTATATTTTCCCAATATTTAACTGAATTTTATGTCAAAGACATTGTGTTTGGGTAATATAGTTGTGACCCTTCAAATAAGATGTCTCAGGTTCAAATCCTTTGTGTTGAAAGGTAAAGTAACCTTGTTAAAAAGGTTTTCTAGATGGTTCTGTTGTGACTCAATTTGTCTATATATATATATATATATATATATATATATATATATATATAGCTCCTATTACTTAATTTTATATATTTCTATCATACGTGAGTTACACTAATAGAGAGATTCAACATAGATGAATGAAGTTTTAATTTCCCTATTTTCCTACTTCAACACCACAAATACTTAATCAATTCTCATAGTTTTATGATCCTTATAATTTTGAAAGTGAGAAAGAACCTAACTACCCGTAGCTATACACGACATGCAACTAATGAAAAGCTCCAAGACAATCATAAAAAATAACATCTTGGAGGAACCGAGGCGAATTATTAAAGACCATAAGTCATCAGCAACTCTATTTTACTAAACACCTTTTAGTTTCCTATCTAGCATAATGCTAGTTAACACCGGAGTGGTAACAGATTCTTTTCGTTTATCTTCTTCTTTTTTACAATTTTTTCATTTAGTAGAGAGGAATTGTAATTTCTTTTTTACTTAATTTCAAGAAGTGGAATATTTTAGAGTTTGGTTGAGAAGAATTGCACGCAATTCTCAAATTTGAGGATTTGCAAATCCCACCTCCGATCCTCTCGGAATATAATTATTGCAACTCCATAATATATGAGAGAAAAGTTTAGAATGTAAGAACCAAATTTGTTCTCCCTAAAAATCCAACATTATCATATCTTTCTCCCTAGGAATTGCAATTACATAGACATTTCGATATATATATATATACTACTTACTAAACACAAATTAAAATTCTCAATAATTCTATTTCTGTCTACTAAACAATGAAATTTGACTTTTTATTTTATTCTCACAAAATTACAAATTCACTTCTCGTCTTCTCCCATAATTTTGTCATTGTAAACTTGTTTATGGTAATAAACATAGAAATTTATGTGTAAGCGAGCGAGTACGTAGGAGAGGAAAGGGTCAAAAAAGTATAGAAAAAGATGAGAATAGTGCAGTGGGATGGGCGCATGAATAAGTTAGGAAACAAGTGCAGGAATACAACGGAAATAAGCAAGAAAAGGATGTGCACATGGAACCAAAACCCCTTTCTGCTTAGTGACACAAATCCATATATATATATATATATATATATATATATATATATATATATATATATATATATATATATATATATATATATATATATATACACTCAATGAGAACACTCGCTTAGGTGAGAACGTGAGAATAAATCGTATGCATTCATCTAATATTATTTAATGGTCTAAATCAATCGCGTTCCCACACATTTAATCTAAATCAATCTAGATCATTAAATTTATTAGATTGATGCACAAAATTTAATCTCACAATGTCACCTAGACCCATCTAAATCAATCGCATTTGCACACACTTAATCTAGACCATCAAAATTTATTAGATTGATGCACAAGATTTGTTCTCACGTTCTCACCTAAGCAAGTGTTCTCGTATGATTATATATATATATATATATATATATATATATATATAGGGTCAGGTTCTTGTGTGAATAGTGCTTCCCGTGCGATCGGTGTGGATTGTATCATTAGGTATGCATAGGTGCACCATAAAGTGTTGAAAATACATCATTATATGTTGTGCAGTTCTTTGATATGTGATGCATTTTGTGGCATTTTATTCTGGCGCATTTTCAAATATTGTGTGGTACATTTATGTATACCTAGTGGTGCAATCCGGATCGACCACACGGGAAGCATAATATATATTTCTACAAGAACCAATATATATATATATATATATATATATATATATATATATATATATATATATATATATATATATATAAAAGCCCATAATCAAGTGTAAATCATCCTTAACTTGTGATTGGAGTTAGGGATTCCACCTTTCTAATAGAAAAATATGGTTCAATTTTTATATAAGATGGTGTTTTTATCTTGTGATGAAATATTATATTGGTGTCTAGCATAATTCAATAGGCGTTATCAGAAGGGTGGGGCAGCCCAAACCCACAAGCTCAACGTGGCATATGCTTCATACAACAAATTATACTTTGGACCATGATCATATTGTGATGTAAAACACTAATAAATATGCATTTTAATATACTGAAAATTCATTTTTAATAAATTATAAGTTCAATTAAAAATGAAATGGAGTACTAAAAATAAACTTGTATATAAGTAGTTTACCTTATAATGTGAATCATAATTCATTGAGCTTCATACAATATCATTGGAGATTAAATATGTTCACGCTCATGCTGTCACAACCACATAGATAGCCATCGAGAAGTCATCTTGGTTCTCCCAATCTAATTAATTTGTCTATTAACTCTTATTATCCTTATAAAAAAAAAAAAAAAAAGAACCATTTGTATAAATAGTAGTTTAATACAGTTCGTAGAATTTAAGAGAAAACACCAAGGTTTGAACATCGGCAATATTAGTGTAGGATTATCCTCAAAGTGAGCAGATTCCTTGTGTGCACTAGTCTTTGATCATGTCTGCTGAACCATTGAGTCACTGTAATTTACATATTTTCATGTTGTGAGAAGTAGTTCAATACATTTTACAATTATTTGATTTTCAGCATCTTAAACCCTTACCTTGCTAAAATGTACTCAAAATTATTTCAATACATAACAATAATATTGATACCTATTCATGGTTTCATTCACCTACCCCTCCTTTTTTTGATTTGAAATCATGATTATGACAATAAAATTACAAAATTTTTATATAAATAAATGTGTGTGTATATATATTTTATGAACCAATTACATTAAACAATATGAAGAAAGGGTCGTTTTCGACCGTCGATGACCGGCGAGTGAACTGGTTATTGACTCCACAAGTGAAATTTCAACCGTTATTTGCCATGCATAATGCATTGTCTTCAACAATAGCTGCATTAATTATATGCCTCCCTCCATATATATAAATTAAGACTTGTCAAGGTTTCCACAATATATAATTAATAATAAATTTCATATTACAATTGCCAACCAATCATGACTTCAAACTTCAACTCCTCCATCTTTGTCTGAAATCGTGACATGAAATTAGGTAGTACATTTCAATATAAGTTAATAATTTTGTATATAGTATATGTCAATCCAATTATTTGTAAGAATTTTCTTAATCACATTATTTATAGACAATTTAATTCCTTTATTAAGGAGTTGACATAAATATTTGTTACGTTTAAAGATACTCATAATTCAGCATGTATATAATTGAGTTATAGTTTCTACAATAACAAGAAGATCAACAATTCTAAGATATTCTAAATTATTATTATTATACTAGGACTATGTGGTCTAATGGTACCCGGGTTGGATTTTCATTTGGAAGGTTGTGAATTTAAGCCTCAGTGGAGGCGTTATTATTATTATTTATTATTATTAGAGAATTGATTTGGTGTCACTAGTACGGTGGGGCTTAATTCAATGGTTCTCTAAGAGATTATTAGAATTAGTCTAGTGTAAGTTGAGAAATCTAATATAAAAAAATAAAATAAAAAGTGCCAACTCCATCCAAGTTGATCAAGTTGTTGGTTTAGTGATCACACGATTATAAGTTTTACTCCTAGCGAGAGTGGCCTATTGGTGATACGCCCCTAATTCTATAATAATCATAAGACTAAATTGTGTAGCCTTGTAACTTAATCAGGGAGAGGAGAAAATTATGTATAATTATTACCTTTTTGATAGCGTAAATTAAACCAGGGGTTACGATTACACTACGAATAATACGTATGTTTGTGAACGAGTAGAATAGAGCGCTCGTAGGTCAGTCGGTCGGTCGGTCTACCGGGCGACAACTGAGTGATCCGAGGCTGGGTGGTATTACAAGTAATAAGTAGTAGGTTACAGTGTAGTGAGTAGTAGTTGTACTCAGATGAAGATGAAGATATCCGAAATGAGGAGGAGACCCTCCTATTTATATTGTCTGAGTCGGTCTACGCATTTAATGCACCTGCTGCAAGTGGCTTGACGTGGCGTCTTCGTGTTGGTTTGGTCAGGCGGTCACTATGCAGCTACTCGTAGGTTGACTGGCCGAGGTGACAGAGCCGCCCTACCTGCAAGCTGTCCATCGCCGCTCTACAAGTGCAAGTTGGACCCTATAACTTGTCGTGTAAGTTACGTTTTCGACTCTGCAGGCCAAGTTGGACCCTATAACTTGTCGTGTCAGTTACGTTTTCGACTTTGCCGGCCAAGTTAGACCCTATAACTTGTCGTGTAAGTTACGTTTTCGACTCTGCAGGCTATGTCACGTTGTAGGCCGACTAGTCAGCCTACAGTAGATCGACCGGGTGACTTTCTATCGGGGCGATTCCAAAGGTGATCCGAGAGCATCTTCTTTTGTCACGAGGCCTATCGGTGCGAACGGTACGGTTGACCACAAGTGATTTAGTCCTGTCAGGTTGATGACAGTGACGGACCGGATAGATGACTTCTTGACGGACCGACTATACGGATCAATCTTCTGTGCAAGTCTTTTAACTCATTGTCAATGGGGTGGGCCACAAAGAATTCCCTCACAACACCGGCTGCTTGATTATCACTTTCAACCACAGTGGCAATCCGCGTAGACCCCACCCCCTTGACATCAAACACCCCCAGCACTTTCCTAGCTAATTTAATTGCATCATTATATTCAACAAAACAAATAATCAACATAAACATCAACTTCAAAAATCCCCCTCTCATATTCATTCTTCTTTCCAGTTTCCATGCATGAGACTGACTATGTGTCTATAAGAAGCCAGCCAGGCAGCCAGGCAGCCTTTTGTACAATACAATATTCCCTTTGCTGTAACACACAGCACAAAAATGAAGTCTATTTTGGCCCCAAATAATTATTGTACATACAAAGATGTTGTGGACCAACATGTTTGTGTTGAAAAAGAATAACTAACTAAGCTTGAGAAAGGCTGTATAACCTCACTGGCACGCGGAGACCGTCATAGCTGAGCTCCACATCCAGTCCTTCTGTCTCCTTCAGTTTCAAGAAGCCCTCGTTTATTGTCTCGTGATCCATCAGGTGCATCATACCTTCATGCCAAACGAAATTTTGTTGCCACAATATATGCATAATAATATCAAGTTTTACTTCGTTTGCTTTTCTTGAATATTAGAGACTATGTCGATTTCATTGGCAAAGAAGAGAACATAGAAAAACATCAGAATACCAGTGAAAAGCGTTCTCCTTGGTCTGATTTTCCGAACTTCCTCAAGAGCCTGGAAAGTGTTAAAATACAAATATTTAATAAAAGAAACAACCAATCGTGAAAAACTATCAAATCTTAGAGAGGCAGGATGAGGAGGGGGTCACCCTTGGGAGCCCGAAATGTGTTGCAGACGACCTATCAGGCCTCAATGCATCCTGAAGTCATAACAAACACATTCACCACTTACATATTCGTTATTAAGTCTATCAATATGCACAGAAAATTGTCCACAGATCTATGTATACCAGGATAAGCAGTTCACAGTCCTCCAGAAGAGGGTAGGTTTCTTCAGGAATTTCGCTAACATCACTAGGAAACCAGGAAGAAAGTTAGTAGTTGGTCTACTAATGAAGTCAGAAAAAGTAGAAGTAAAAGATGACACTGAAACCTTATATAACAGATATTGCCAAAACGGAAGCCCAAAGAACGATAACCAGCACCATGCCATACTGGTAAAGGGATAATCTGATAGCACAATGGTAAAATTGACCGGTTATAAGAAGGAATGGAGCTACTAAATTGCAAGATTTGCAGCCATTTTGTTTTAATAAGCTTAAAGAATCCCTTGAAAACAAGTAGTAGCCCAATTGGAAGAGAACGACGCAATATCCAAAAAATCCAGACAACAGAACACAGATTCCTTTGGCATCAAAATTCAAAATTTAAGTGATGAATTCTATGAATTTAAGAAAAGCAAATGACTCATAGTAACAGAAGAACAAAAAACTTAGCACTTTGCCCCTTAATTGGGCCAGCCCGGTGCGAACGGGGATTAGTCTGAGTATGGTACGGGCTTAAAGGTGCCTCCTACAGTTAGGACCTGCTCATGACACCTTGTGGTCTGACCCAAAAAAAAAAAAAAAAAAAAAAAAAAAACTTACCTTGAGATCATGTACAATGAATGGGTCCTCCTTTATAATGTTAAATTGCAGGTCTGAAACAGCAGCACCAGGTGTGACACCACTAGTATCCACTAAATAATAGTGAGTTTTCTTCATCACCTGGCATTAACACAATCCAAGCATGTAAATCTAAAAGTTCTCTAGGGTAGTAGTGTGTAACTAAAGATTAGAAGAAAGACGGCAGTATGTGGGTGTGTTGTACCGTTGTGTGGTGAGAGCACTACTATTAAAGTTGAAATGAAATCTTTAAGTAAACTTTGACAGATAAGTAACTTAAACTTCCAGATCAGAGACTAAGTGACATAATTCTCTAACATGTTCTTTCAAGCAACCAAGGCAGTAAATTGGCAACTGCAATAATGGCTTAATTACTGTTTATAACACCATTATAGCTTAAGTAAGATTGAAAAACTAGAACCTAATTAATATGATACTAGTCAGAACAAACAAATCATGCAATAACATGAATAGCACAAAAATCGTGGACATTCGATATGCAATTTGTAATTAGTTACCAGTGTTTTTGCAGTTTAACAATGAGAAAGGAGTTGAATAGCATAATATATGTTTTTCAAATAGAATTGGCACCTCAAAGTCACGCTGTGCTACATAAATAGGTACACAGGGCTGGACATTGTTAGTCCAATCACGAAGATCATCCAGACCTGCACAAGAGGCAAACTTAAGTGCCAGAAAGCATGTATTCACAGACAAAATGACTTTAAGTAAAGACAAGGGGAGACAGGAGCATCAGAGTGATTCTCTAATCATATTATTCATATATGAGGACATTGAAATTTGAAAAAGTCAGAGACCTCCAATTGCATCAGCATGAGAATGAGTTATTACAACTGCATCAAGTGTTCTTATCCTGACAGAGGCATGAGAAATTATAATCAAAAGGTGATATCAAACAAATTAAAAAGGTGCAAAGTTCAAAGCCCTTCATAGTGAAAGTAAAAACATTAAAAAGAATTTAGCAAAAATAACATTAAAAAGAAAAATTTCGAAAAAAAAAAAAAAAGGAATACAAATGGGTTTCGCACACCACATGGCAGGAAAACCTATTTGGAGGGAGTCTATGAAGGGCTAATGGATCCAACCACATTCATTTGTGCAAGGAGGTCGGTTCTGTGCTTTCAGTACAAGACAATTTGGTCATAATGACGGACAATTTAATCAACCTTTCTATAGAGATATGATAACTAACCAAGTACAGCTGAACTAATGAGATAAGTGATTAGAAGCTTACCCATAAGCAGGAAACCATCTCAGGGCACTATGGTAGAAGAACCTGCATTAGAAAAAAATACCTTCTTTAATTGAAGATTCAAGCGAACCTAAAGATTAGAAAACACTTATACTTGAACAAATGTGTGTTTCCATAAACATCTTTTTCCCCATTTCTCATTTACATTAGGGTATAGTAATTTGCAAGGATCAAGGGAACAAGTCTAGATTTGCAAATTACATCACTTAGAATTAAATATCAAATACAACAATTACATAGCATTCCTTCCTGAGTTATTTATCTTTAGAAAGAAGAGCTTCCTACATACTTGCCGGCATCTATAAGAATGTTTGAATATCCAGATGGCCCAAAGTGTCGAATGAGGATGCTTGTGTTAAGTCTCCTATTTTTGTTACCAGGTTCTATGGCTTTTGAGCACACCTGTAAATTGACATTTGGGAATTTTATATTGATTAATCAACTACTCAATTTGCATACTGAATACTTAAATATCAATTGATGAGCTCTAGATACCACATATTTGCAGGAGAATGTAGGTTTTGCATCCTTACAGGGCATGTCTTCACGGGATTAGTGAGGCAGCTAACTCGTGGGATCCCTTCACTAGTTCCTGTCCCTAAGAATATTATTTCAGATTGACCCTCTGATCTCTCTACTAGAGTTGAAGAACTCACAGAACCTACATTGTGTTAAAACTTAAAAGTAAGCATACATTTCATGGAAAAAGGGAAAGGCAAAATATTATACCCCAACTCACCAGAACTCCATAAGCTTAGAGGCTTATTTCATTTCATATATTCATCTATTGCATCAGTAGCTTAAGCAAACAAACTAAACACTTAAATAAGATAGGAAAAAAGTGTTGCACTATTCCAATAAGATAGGGAAATACTACAAATTCGACATCAAATTTGCATTGTGCACTCTATTCTGGCGCAACCCAGTGATGTAAAAATCGGCCTAGGCTGAGGCAATTTCAACCCTAGGCGGCTTTTAGTAGGTCAGCCGACTAGGCGCCGAGTTGGGCACCTAACTCGACCAAGTCGGTGCCCAACTGAGCCGAGTGGTTTTTTTTGCCTACTCAACTACTCATCTCCTATATTCCTCCAGTAATATACTCAATTAACCATCTAACATATGCAGTTAACTAGTTTGGGAATTATAACAGTCTAACAACTCCCAGTTTTAAGTGGGAAAAGTGGGAACGATATACTCAGATTACTCGGCCGTCTAGGCACTCTAGGCACCCCGCGCCCGACTAGTGCCTGGAGCCTTCTACAACATTGGCGAAACCTCATACATTAGAAAGTGAATTCTGCCGGCTTAGTATAATAATCACAAGTACATACATAGATGATAAGAATCGCAAATTTGCAGTGCCTTAGCTGAACGATTCAGTTTATGCTGATTAGGCAAAAAATATTGAATCTATGTAGCAATCAACATTCAGCGAGCTTCAGAAACCAAATATTCCGTACTTAATTTCCAGCCAGGAAGAAGAAATGACACTATATATGCATATATAGTTGTTGAAAACGAAAGAATGGTTCACTTACTGGAATTAAGAGAAGCTCTGAGAATATGCCTGAATGGAGAATAGCCATTTCTGGAAATCAAGATTGAACCTCGTCGTGAGTTCCCGGAAATGGAAAATCGACGGGAAGAGCGGGTGATTTGCAAGAGAGAATTGGGAGCGGGACGAACTAATCCTAGAAAAACCACCATTTTCTATTTTTTGGGTTCTGCTACTGTCAAACTGCGGTTAAAACCTAGTTTGGGCGGGCCTGTTTAGTTAAAAAGCTAACGCACAAAGCCACAAACTAAATTATTACTCCGTACGCGAATGGTGTAAAGAAAATGTTATGTGTATTCCCATTTTGTACTTTAATTGTATTTTTATACGTAAAATTTTGATGTAAACACTTGTATTGGGGTACACATAAAAAAAATATAATTTATCAAAATCCGTTATATCAGAAAATAAGATTAGGGGTACATGTAATAAAACTCATGATGTAATTGCACAACCTGAAAAAGTAAGGCTGGATCCTATATAAACAACTCATAACTTAATAAAATAATTAGACAATTCAAAATGATTTATGAAAATTAAAGAACGAAATCTAATCAATAAACTACTTAACTATTACTAGATCAATTCACCCTTTAAAAAAAATTCCTCTAAACTTAAAATAATATTTATTTTTTACAACACCTCAAATATTATTTAAGTTTAATAACATATGTTGGTTTTCAAACTTTAGGCAATCTACCGGTGGTCCAACACAACTAGAAAAGGTAGTGAATCGCCGGAAAATAACAAGAACACTCACAATGTATCCGTAAAATCGCTCGTGTATATTGTCAAAATGCCCAACCCCTTCTACAGTGCCATACAAGGGCCTTTTATACTGGTTCGAGTGACCATTGGACTCAGCTCCCTAATTAATACATTAAATGGTATAATTATGAGTAATAAAGGCTTTAATTATCCACTATGCACGGTCGGCTCGCTGCTCTCCTCCACATCAGTCCTCATTATTAGTCATTAAACCACATTAATTACACATTAAATGACCCAACTCAACAAATTGTCTAGGCTCTTCCTCTTCTGATCCACTTTCACCGATTCTTTCAAGCACTCGGTTTTTGAGCCTACCCCTCACTCGATTCCGACTTAGTTGACTCCTTCACCAAAACGTCCCAGCCACTAGACTAACTTACTCGCTCGGCTCTTTCATCTGCTCAAATCATTCTTCTCGACTCCTTCTCTCGTCCGGCCTAGACCGCCCGCCTGAGTCACTCACCCGTTGCTTCCCAGGACGCCTCCTTCATTCGCCCTGTTTGTCCGACTGACTGGCTCTTTCGGCTCATCTCGACTAGTTTATTCACTCGTCTTGTAAACAGGATGGCTCGCCTATTCGGCCCCCTGCTGGCTCCTCTACCCGGATCCTCCAATTGGCTCCTTCTCTCGCTCAGCTTCATTCACCCGCCTGTTCTACTCGTTCGCCGCCCTCCGTGATGCCTGCACAACTCGTCCTCCCTGGCTAACTCGTGATTCCACTTACTCGCTCGTTCCAATCACCCTGTTATCCGTCTCGCTCTTTCTCGCATATTGCTCCTAGATTGCCCCACTTCCTTCTCGATTGGTCTCGCTACCTTTTGTTCGGCTTGATAACTCGCAATGATTCCACCCATCTGCCATATTTGAAATGAGTTAATACTCAAAATCGTCCCCGACTATAGTGATTTTTCTCAATTTCGTCCTAAACGACTTTGGTGACCTACTATCGTCCCAGACTTTTGTGTTTCGCTCAATTTAGTTCTCCATTTGTTATTCCGTCAAATTGGTGTTAAATAAAGGGACAATTCAATAATGTCAATATTGATCTCTCTTTACTTTCAACTTGTGAAGTGCAAAATTCCTCTTTCTTGTATGAATTACACTCAGAATTACTCCCGGACCTGCAAATCAAATTTTATATTCGCAGTTTTAGGAGTAATTCTGGGAGTAATTCGTAAAAAAAAATGGGATTTCGCACTTTACATGTCTATGAGTAAAGAGATGCCAATATTAAAATTACTGAATTGTCTATTTATTTAACACCAAATGGACAGAATAACAAATGAGGGACTAAATTGAGCAAAAACACAAAAGTCTGGGACTAAATTGAGCGAAACATAAAAGTCTGGGACGATATTAGGTCACTGATACTGCTAATTCTACGTAAGCAATATAAAATAACACGAGACCAATTAAAGCAAGTAAAATCTTTATTGATCCCGGTAAAGGCCCTAAGTACAATCTACTTGGCTGCTCTGAGTACCGACTGACTGCGGTCGGAATTCTCTAACAACAACCTATCGATCGTCCAAAAGTCCTCCCCACTGTAGCTACTGTGGGCATTTATAGCCGCTATGCCGGGGACAAGATTCCAGCCGCTCGGCATGTCTTCCACGTAGCCACCACGTGTCATCTTCCCGGGTGCCCTGTCTGTCGCCATGAAGAGCCGCCACGTGTCCTCTCGCGTCCTTGTGCCAGCTCTTTCGTCGAAGGGCTACCGCTCGGTGGTCGACATCAGCGCTCGGGCAACTCCCGGCCATTCCCGACCGGGGTCTTCATGGAAAAAGCCCGACCTGCCACCTGAAAAGATCATAAGAGAAAGACAAAGGCAAGTCGGTCGTGGTGGAGCTTATGTCGGTCGGGATATTCCCTACCAAAAGCCCCCCAGCCCGGGCCTTTTTGATCAGTCGGGAAAAAACGGGACGGGATGAAGAAGCCCAACCGTCAGGCATTAGACCGACCGGCCAGCTGTCATTCCCTCCTACGCCACGTGTCGGCCTCTGCCGGCCTCGGCGATCCCATCCGTCGCCTCGGATTCAGTGCAGGTCGTGTCAGGCAAGTTGGCCCATTTCCCGCCTAAATGCCCTCCTATAAATAGGCCCTTGAGGCCCTCATTTGAACTTTCCTCACTCTTTTGCTTCAGTCGGTATCCTCTAAGAGTCCCGAGCAGAGCATCTCAGCAAGGCGATCGAGCAACAAATTTCAAGCTTTCTCTCGCAAAGTTCCTTCACTCGGTAAGCTCTTAGTTCTTTACTCTTTGTTTACTCTTTACTTAGCGTAGAAGTAGGATAACACTAACTTCGAGCTAACTCCCCGAACCTTGTATTGACTCCCGACCGACCTTTAGGTAGAAATATGTCGGACTCGGATAGTCAAAACGCCTCGATCGCGGACTACGATGAGGAGGTCGAGCGTACCAGCGACGAGGAAGTGGACATTATGTCCTACACTCCCGAAGCCAGCCCCCGAGCAACGCCAGCCCCCGATCGAGCCGTCGAGCATAACGGCGCGTCAAGCTCCTCTGGGACGTCGAGCTCTAGCTCCAGCGGATCGGGGAGCCCTAGCGAAGAAGAGGAAGAGAGAACCACGTCAAGCGGGCGGGGTTCTCCGACCGAGGGCGTTAGGGAAACGCCTACCCGGGTGGTTGGGGACCACCCGGAAGCCGCTCCTCGAGGGGGTGATCGAGAAAATACCCCCGAGCAGACCGAAGAAGGCCCGGCCCGGCCGGCCACGCCAGCCGTCGAGCTCGAATTCTTGAACAGCGAGAGTGTCGAGCAAGAAATGAGCCTGCTGACCAAAGGCGAGGCGGCTCGGATCGCTGAAATACTCCGGGGTCGGGTAGAATTCGACACGAGCCGGCAGCTGGGAAACGTGATTGACAGGCATCGGGGCAAGTGGATCGGGATGCATTACGACTCCCTGATGGCCCCGATCGCCATTCCCTTCACCCCCCTCCTGAACGCCTTCTTGGCCTATTACCGGGTCGTCCCGGCCCAGATCTGCCCGAACGCACACCGGATCCTCGCCTGCTTCCCGCAGATATGCACTCGGCACGAGGCCGAGTGCACGATGGAGTTGTTCAACTTCATCTACCAGATCAAGGTTCTCCCGGGCCGCTACGGGGGTGGGTTCCTGATGCTGCAGTCCCGAGCAGATATGTGCTCCATCAAAGGCCTGCCCGGGAACAACAAGGGGTGGAAGAACAGAATTTTCTCCATCAAATACGACCCCTGGATCCTCCCGGTCGACCGCACTTGGAGCAGCCACTTCAGAAAGCAAGTGGTACCGGTCGAAACGCAAATGCTGAGGGACACGGTCAGCCGGATTTCGAGCGAGGTGCACGAATACACCATCTTCCGGACGGCTGAAAGTCTCGAGGCGGCTCAACTCCCGCCCCCCACATACGAGCTGCCGGAGAAGTATCTGCCCGTGCCGATGGGCGTAACGATCGCGAAGCCGTCGAAACGAAAGAAGAAAGGTTCAACCCGAGCCGTTCCTCCCGACCTAGCTTCATTTCTTGATCAAACTAACTTTGCTTTTTTATTGCAGCCATGGCAGAGTTCGGCGATGAAGACACCGCCCTTCCCCCGCCCACGAAGATCTCCCTCGGCGGGAAGAAGAAGGCCAAGACCAAAGCAGCCGGGGAAAAGGAGATTCCCACTGCCCGACCCCTGAGTGCCTCGACCGTGTCGACGGGCGAGGGCTTCATAGTCGAGCAGCCCGACGTCTTGGTCACCCGGGTGGAGGTCGCCCGGGGCAAGGAGAAGGTCGCCGACCATGGCGCGACCGAGGTGGGCAGCCTGAAGCGGCGCCGTGAGCAGCACAGCCCGAGCCCTTCGGTCGGGCGGGAGAGGGAGTCTACGTCCGTGCTGGCACGGATCGGCAACGCCGCGCCTGCCCGAGCGGATCTGGGGAAGATGACCCCGACCCAGGTGGCTGAACGGATCGGCCACGATCTGGCCGAGGTGAGTTTCCCAACTTATAATCTTTCTTTGCCCAAGTGTATTCGATCGGGCTAACCGAACGTCTCCTGTTTTGCAGATTTCCCGGGCCGCCCAGCTCCTACAAGGTCGAGCCATGCTGGCCGAGGAAGCTGATCACCACAAGAAGACGGCCGCCCGTCGCTTGAAGGAGATCAAGGACCTCCAAGCCGAGCTGGAGAAGACCCAGAAGGCCCTGAAGAAGGGCGACGAGGAGCGGGTTCTTGCCGAGAAGGTCACTAGCCGGGCGATCGGAGAGGCCAAGGAGCTGAAGGCTCAGCTCGAGAATCCGAGCGAGCTGGCGCGGGCAGCCTTCAAAGACAAGGACTTGGGCTCGGCCTTCCTCACAGCGGCCCGGGGAACAGAGATCGGCGAAGAGCTGATCGTCTCGTTCGGTCGCTGGGGCTTTACGGCCGGGAAGCGGAAGATGCTTGAA